ACTCCTGGGCTCAAGCGAGTCTCCTGCCTCCACCTCCCAAGTAGCTGGGACTACAGGCACCCACCACAATGCCCGGCTATTTTTTTGGTTGCAGCCATCATGTTGTTTGGTGGCTCCGGGCTAGATTCGAACCTGCCACCTTAGGTGTATGTGGCTGGTGCCTTAGCCACATGAGCCACAGGCGCCGAGCCATGACTATATTATTTATAAGACTCCTTAAAGGTAATCCTTTGTCAAAATCATGTTACAGAGTTCAACCAGTTTGTTGTTGCTGAGACAGAGTCTCACTCTGCCCAAGCTGTGGCCTCAGCCTCGCTCACAACCTCCAACCCCTGGGCTCAAGTGATCCTCCTGCCTCAGCCTTCCAAGTAGCTGGGACAACAAACATGTGTCACTATGCCCAGCTAATTTTTCCATTTTTAGTAGAAATGAGGTCTTGCTTTTGCTCAGACTGGTATCAAATGCCTGAGTTCAAGTGATCCTCCTCCCTCAGGCTCCCAGAGTGCTAAGATTACAGCCATGACCCACCGTGCTTGGTCCAGAATTTAACACTTTAAGGCTTCATACATTTTCTCTGAAGCTGCTATTTACTTACACTGACAGCATTAATGTCTGAGACGTGTCCTGTGAAAGACTGTCTGCACATTCCATCTCGAATATCCCACAATTTGGAAGAGGCATCGCAAGCACCAGACACAAAAGTCCTCATGTCAGGACTCAGAGAAAGACTCATCACATCTCCAGAATGCCCATTGAACGTGGTGGTCTGCTGGGCAGTTTCGATGTCCCATAAAGCACTACAATTAAAAATAAATAAAAATACTTCACGACTATTTATCTCCTTATCCATCAGTTCCTGTTACCACCCTCAAATCCAAAATCAGTGTTCCTCTGGAATGAACTTACCAAGTTGTATCTCCTGAACTTGTAACAATTTGGCTGTCATCTAAAAAACGACAGCAGGACAAGTAGCCTGCAGCATAGAGAGAAGCAAATTTTTAGGTTCCCATGGATGAAATAACTCAGTTACCATAGAGAACAGATATCTATAGCTTCAAACTGTAACACCTGGGCAACAAGTGTTGTCAGGACAATCTATAGGCTTCCTTCCAGTTACTGCGAGCTCTGTGCCATCTACAAGTAAACTTTACCAGCAAACCTTTCTTAGGCCATTGCCACTGGCATTGTTCTGGGCACTCTGAAAGCTAGAAAGCTGAGTAAGACCCAGCCACCTGAGAAAACTATCTACTGAGGACAGATACGGCCAACTGTGTTAGGCACCTTTGAGAAATAATTTTAAAATACTGTGAGAAATCAGAAGACTATCGATGAAGGCTCTATGAAAGATGTGGTGTTTCATGGCTAGCACTCACCAGTGTTTCAAAATATGGGAACGGCAGGGAAACACCATTCTAGAGATTCTGTAAAAGCCTGGTCAAATAATACAGCCAAAAGTTCCACGGGACAGAAAACAGATGAGTGGCAGGAGATCCTAACTCCCCCTGCTAACAGGGTGCCGCCGCTACCCCAGGACGGGGCACACACTGGCAGGTAAAGGACACACCGTCCCAGCAGCAACACCAGGAAGGCACCTCAGTGCATATTCTCAATTATATAACCGAGTACAGATGCCGTAAGCCCGTAACTGTTATAAGGGGGCAGAAAATAGAAAACACTGTATTTGCTTTCTTTTTGCATCTTCCGTTAGTTTGAATTTGCTGCAGTCAATGTTTATCATTTTTACAAAAACAATACAGCTCCCAGCAACTGGGGAGGCTGAGGCAAGAGGAGCCCCTGAACTCTGTCTGAAAAAAATAACACCAAAAAAACCCCATCTATTTTTGAAAGAAAAATAAAAGTATGGTCCTTGCACATATGATTATAAAAAGCTAACGCGTCCCTGATTCATGGTAATTTCTCCTCTCACCTGACCCTTTACAGCTGAGCACAGCCTGCACTTGTCCCTCCCCAGCGGTGGACAGCAGGAGCTGGGTCTGACTCCCTCACTAACTAGTAAGGCGGGAGGCTCACCTGTGTGCCCCGGCAGCTCCCGGCTCACGCGCACGTTTCCCTCTCTGGTCTTTAAGTTATAGATGGAGCAGATGTTGTCCAGGCCTCCACAGGCAACATAATTACCAGAGGGGGCGTAGGCACAAGTCATGACCCAGGAGGACCGCAGAGGAATCGCGTGCATCTGAGGACAAACGCCACACACACAACTGTCACTAAACAGAGATCTCAAAAACGGACACTGATTCTGTAGCCCTACTTACAGTAAATATTACGAAAAATCGTAACAGCTAAGAAAAATAAGCCAAATGAAATAAAGAATGTGATGGCCTGAAAAGGTTAACCGGGAAAAATAAAATGCGAATGCATATAAAAATCCCTCTCATTTTTTCTGAATAGTCTAATCATTCCGGGTGAGAAAGTCCTCTACTTAAGAATAATTGTTTTAATAGAAACAAGGATGCAAAGATATCTCAATGACCATACAGATATTTGAAACATTAAGTATACAGTGTTAAAGATTTTAATAAAATTCTTCGTTTTTGTGGTACTGATCAAATGAGGAGTTTCCTCCAACCTAAGACTGAATGAACAATTAAAAGGGAGGTAATTAGCAAGTATCGAGCTGATGACAATGGTTCTCCCACGGGTGACATCACCGCCTTCCACTATCAGGCACATTTTCTGGGGTCTCATTTAAACTGTGGTGATAGTTTCACATTAATCTACCACTGTCTGGTGCCTTGTTATCCCCATACCAAGGTCAGGCAGAAAAATGTAAGGTGTATGGGAATACTAAGGAATTAAAGCATGAATAAAAGTCCTTTAAATGAGGGATTCCTTCCGGTGTATATATGAAGAGAATCCAGTCTTTCACCACCAAGAGATCTAAAAAGTTGTAATTTGCCCCCAATCTCCTGTATCTTTTAAGCAGTCCAGAAACACAAATCAATGCCTGGAGTGGGCAGCAGAACAGCTTCACACTAGCCATCCACCTCACCCACAACTAGAATACAAATCTCAGAGTCACTGTCAATATTAAGAAATAGGATTTTTAAGAAAATCATTTCTATGTAAAAATGGAACTCTTTCCTATTATTCAAATATGAGCGTCAAAACACACTGACCGATTATTTCTGTACTTCCCTCTATTAATAAAAAAGGGTTAAATATTAAACTCTAAGACAAAGGAAAAGATGTAGATTTTAAAATAAAAAGAATAAATGTATCTCAGAAGCAATTAAAGACTGAAGCAACAGAATACAAGGAATAAGACAGTGGACAGCAAATAAAATACAACATTATTTATAAGAACGAGTAAGAATGTCTACCTTATTTGTTGTATAGCTATCCCAAATAATTAATTTTCCATCTTGGGAAGCACTGACTAGTAGCCTAGGGGAACAAACACAAAAATAATTTGATACTTAGAGGGAAAAAGTAGTTTAGTTGTGCACTGTATTAATGTAGAATAGTTCAGAAAAGAAAAATACAATTTTTCTAAAAGCTTCACACCAAAAAATATTCTTCTAATTTTTAAAAAATTTATCCTGCATGCCAAAAATTTTCAACATGAACCATAAAATTTAGCAACCGACTAAAAATGTCTCCGGTTATGATTCAACTTTTTAACAGGGACAACATTTTCGTTATGATTCAAGAGCTTGGTAGGTGTCACCTGATTTAGTATTTACTGACTTAAATTTAATGACAATAAAGTACCTCTAAGCCTAACAATATATTCTCTGTGTCAGAGGTACAATGCAGAATTTACTAAATCTCTCCTATTCTTGAGGCCTCTACCATCTGGGGGACATAAGACATTTTACTCATATTTGTAACAAATCAAGTAAGTGAAAGTGTTAGGAGAATGGTATAAAATAAGGGGAGGACAAATAACTGCTGAGTTAATCAAGAGAATGTGTCTTAAACCATGGAATTTTTACTAGATTTAGAATATAAATGTCTGAACACAACAACAAGAAAATGCCATGAAGGCTATGTTAACCAGTTTGATGAAAACATTTCAAATTGTATATAAAAGCAGCGCATCATATCCCATGATTGTATTAATGTACACGGCTATGATTTAATAAAAAAAAAAAAACATGGAATTTTGAGAGCTAAAAATAGGGGAAAGTACATTTTAGGAGGAAGCTAAATCTGATTGACAAGAGGAGGTAGAAAAACACAACGGGTATTTCGGGAACACCCATGAGTCTTTCAGTCACATGGAATTTGTGAGAAAAAAAGTAGATTGAGAAAAGCAGACTGGGCTTGAACCTCAACTTTTGACTAAGTAGTTATCAGCCAGTGAACTTCTTAGTTTTGTTAGGAATTTGTATTCTTCACCACAGTATAAAATTCAAAAGATACAAAAGGATATATACAGTGAAAAAATCATCTTTCCAGGCCCACCCCCAGCCACCTAGTTCCCTTCCCTATAGGTAAATAACATTACCTGGTTCTTATGTATCAGGATGTTTTTACAAAAGACTGAGAGCGAAGTATGGGATGGAACCTACAGAAAATTCTTTAAAAGTCAATTGACATGGCAGTGCCTATAGCTCAGTGGGTAGAGCGCCAGCCACATACACCGAGACTGGCAGGTTCAAATCCAGCCCAGGCCAGCTAAACAACAATGACAACTGCAACAGAAATAAAGCCAGGCATCGTGGTGGGTGCCTGTAGTCCCAGCTACTTGGGAGGCTAAGGCAAGCAAATCGCTTAAGCCCAAGAGTTTGAGGTGGCTATGAGCTATGACATCACAGCCCATAGCTGTGTCTCTACCCAGGGCAACAGCTTGAGACACTGTCTCAAAAAATCAAGTGGCATCATTATCACATGAACAGAGAATAAAATTAAATAACAAGCTGGGGTAACCAGAATGAGGAGAAGATAGTGTGAGATGGGGGCCTGCATGATGGTCTTGTTTCATAATGAAGATTAACAGTCTTGAGTAAAGTCTTAAGGAAAGCAAGAACTACTAATGCTGTTTTAAATTACTGTATTGTGAGTTAAAAGCTTGATATATCAATAGGTAAGTTATTTTTATCTTCAACTTCTTTAAGAAAAGAATAAAATATTTGCCCTATTTATATCAGTTGTCAATTATAGAATTATAGGGCTTATGTATCCCCCTCCAGAGAGGCACATGTTCAATATACCATACTCAAGTATTCCACTGACATCTGATAGCAACAAACGATCCTTCCTCTAGTCTATGATTTTATTTTATTTTTAATTTTTATTTTTTATGATAGAATCTCACTCTGCTTTCCTGGGTAGACTGCTATGGTGTCATAGCTCACAGCAACCTCAAATTCTTGGGCTTAAGTCAGTGGTTCTCAACCTTCCTAATGCCGCAGCCCTTTAATACAGTTCCTGTGGGTCGTGACCCACAGGTTGAGAACTGCTGGTTTAAGTGATCTTCCTGCCTCAGCCTCCTAGTAGCTGGGACTACAGGCACCCCAGGCAATGCCTGGCTACGCTTGCTCTTGCTTTGGTCTCGAACCTGTGAGTTCAAGCAATCCACCTGCCTTGGTTGGCCTCCCTGAGTGCCAGGATTATAAGTGTGAGCCATTTCACCCAGCTTTATTTTACCTTTTTTTTTGCAGTTTTTGGCCAGGGCCAGGTTTGAACCCGCCACCTCCGGTATATGGGGCTGGTGCCCTACTCCTTTGAGCCACAGGTGCCACCCCTTATTTTACCATTTTAATGTCTCACGGAAGAAGAGAATGCACTTCTATTAAAAATTAATTTCTTAATCAAGTTAAATAAACTAATCACTGAGGCAGCAGGCAGACCTGCTACTGCCAGACACTCTAGAAAAAGCCTAGGCTGCATTGTAACCAATGACACAGTGACTCTTGACCAAACCCTCTAACTGCAGGTGGCAGCCACGTGTGCAGGGGAACACACACACACACACACACACACACGTGTAGACGTGCCCTTTAAAACTCAAGCACGTGCATTTCCATGCTGGAGCTGGGAGAACAAAAGATGGATCAATGGGAACATCCTTATTTCACATAGTTCCATTGTTTGTAAATTTTTTTTTTTTTTTTGAGACGGAGCCTCAAGCTATCCCCCTGGGTAGAGTGCCATGGCATCACGCTCACAGCAACCTCCAACTCCTGGGCT